GGAAGGGGACTCTGTATCAGCAGTTGTTGGGCAGTTGGTAGAAGAGCTGGAGTTCTGCTGCAGAGCAGGATGGCAGAGCAAAGCACAGCCTGCCTGGGTGTGCAAGAACCAAGGAATGTCAGAAGGGCACTGGTAGATCTTTAGATAGAAAGGACTTAATTAAATGTTATCACTTGAAAAATCAGCAAATGCTACCACAGCTCTCTGCAGGAACGCAGGAAGGCTGATGCTATTCCTGGCAATGCAGGGCTCACGTGAGTGTGTAACACACACACACTGCTGTTGGACAAATCTGAGAGTGGGGCAGAGTACTCAAAAGCACTCCTGGAGGGAAACCCTGGTCACAGCAGCACTGAAGGGCAGGCAGTATAGCACTGTGCACGAGGAGCTGGAGAAAGGACAGAGGCCGCAGATCATCTGAAGGGACTGCATGGGGCATTTGGGGATGTAATTATTACTGGTGGGAAAACATGAGAAAATGCTTGGTCTGATTCTCTGCATGCCAACTGGAATTTTGAAAATGTTGGAATTAAGAGCAAAAGCACTGTGCATAACTCCAAGAAAAAGCAACATCTCCTATTTTTATTTACATTCTTAGAAAATCATAAAGCTAGCCTTGTGTAATCTCTCAAAATCTGCTTCATTACAGTCCCTTAGGTTATAGCACGCAGTAATTAACATTATTTTAACTCAGCTGGTGCTTTTGGGTGTTTCTGCTCATTGTATTTCTTTGGCTGAGTTGAATAATGCCAGGCTCCTTTCCTCACAGTCCGTCTGATTTTACTGTGAGCCTTCCAACCTGCCTTAACACGGTGCTTCAACACAGCTCAGCACGATGACTTCCCTTCACAGAGATTTATCTGAGTTTCCCAAACAGGTGCATTACGCAGCCACAGACCACAGCCAGAATCCTTGCTGGTGGTGATTGGATGCTGTGATGGATGATGGCCTCCTGGGAACGTGCTGCCTAATGAAACACGGCCATCAGTTTCATCAGACCTCTGTACAGCCTCGCCCTCGGGAAATCGCATAACTCAGCCGTGACAGCAGCAGCAGAGTTCTCAGAGGGCTGCTCATAAAACAACAGTTAAACCTGATATTTACTGCATCTACAATTTGCAGTTTCACACAGAACTCTTCAGCTTGTGGAACGCTTCCGTTCTTGGAAAAGAAGAGAACCCATGACGAAGCCATTTCAGAACTGCGCACCTACAGCATCCCTGAAAGCAGGAGAGTCGTGACTGCAGGACCGGGAGGTGGCTGTGTAGGTTGGACACGAGCACAAGGGGCCCTGGCTGGGACCTGCAAGATGAGGGCTTCTACCAGCTGCAGAGAGAGCCAAGAGCTATGAGCTGTTCCACGAAACAAAGCTTGCAGTCAAATCTTTGGGCAGAGTATAGAAATACAGAGGAGTCAGAGGGGTTTGAGCTTGGGAGGAAGTGGAAGCTGCTGTGCTATGGTCAAACTTTGCTTCCAAGCACTCCTTGGCACTTTTTGGAAGGTGCCTTGATTGAGAACCAATGGCTGCAAGAGGAGGGACCAACCCAAAGCCAGGCATGTGGTGGCTGTCCCAGCCCAGGTAGCTGCTCTTCGAGCTGCAGCAGGTCAGGCCCTCTTCCTCAGGTAATCTTCGGGTACGAGGACAGACAGCTGCTTTTCTCCCACCTTGTGCCTTATTGTGGTCACTATCATTTTATAACACATGTGCTTTCTCTGTAAGTTACAGATGATGAGAAATTGGATAAGTCTCCTGAAATGTATGAGCGAGAAACAGTGGGAAGAACTTGCACGAGTTTTTACTGATGGCTATTTCTTGAAACATCGGGTTCAGTCATACCTTGTAAAAATAAATGAAACATTTCAGTAGCACCAGAACATCTTTGGAGACTGAAGGTATGAGTTCAATTTCCCATTGTGAACAGCTCTTGAAAGAGATGCCATAGTTCTAACATAAAACTGGCTCAGTTTTTTTCAGAAGTCAGAACTGGGATGCATGATTCAGTTCTATTCAGGCATCAAAGCAAGAACTTTCAGTCCAGAAATGCAGGTTGAGCTTTTTTGGGGGGGTTTGGAAGGGGTTACAGCTTGAAAATTGTGGTGTACCCCCCCCACACAGAACACCCCCACTCTGCTCCGTGCACAGCTGCTGTGTAACAGCAGCACAGAGGCACAAGTTGGGAACTTTGCAGATGAAATCCTTCACGTGGGGTGGGATGCATTCCCACATACAGGGCTTGCAGAAACCTGGTGGAAGGAGGACCCCCTCCATGGTTACACCACTGCTTCAGTGACATGTGCTGTGCAAACATCGATTGGCTGCTGCTAGATGTGTGTCCACAAACATCTGTACGTACGTTTATATAAACCATGCCAGTGTTCAGGACAAACTGCAGATTAACTGAAAAAGAAATGGAACTCTCCTTCCCAAGGTTTAAGAATGCAGAATAAACCCTTTCAAGAACACCAGAGGATTTGAAGCTTATAAACAATGCCTACTGGGCAATAGATTTACTTTCCCACAAATAGGAACAAATTAACAAACAAATTGATTTTGGAGACAGGCAGTATTTGAATTTTAACACCATACATTCTAATTTCCTGTAAAAGCTGTCAACTAATCACATGCCCAGTCCTGCTGTTCTCCCATTGCCAGAGTAGCCTGCAACAAAACTCAACAGCAGTTTCTGAGACCAATGTTTCAGCACATGTGGTATCTTGGTTACACAAACAGCTTCTCTCTCATTCCCCTTTCTTCCCTCTATGGCTTTATTTAAAAAGAAAGCAGTACAGATGCATCTTTGCTCACTGAGGACATCATTCTGCTCCGCACAGCCCATCCCCACACTGCTGCCTTCCTTCCCTTCAGAGGCAGTTTCTCCATTAGTGCTGCAGAATGACCCTGGGGCCCAGCATGTGTTTTGATGGCAAGCAGCTCCCTGCTTCACCACAGAGTTCTGTGCTCATTCTGCCTCTGCTTGTCCCAGGAGGCTCCATCCTGCAAACAGCAGCTTGGATCACAGCGATGGACTGTGAGAAATTCCTTTGAACCAAAGCTGTAAGAAACGCATCTTCATCTGCAGCCTGGCAGCAGCTTGAGGAGTCTGTGCATAACCTGCTGCTGATACCCAAGAAAATGCTCTCCCTGTAGGAAGGGCAGACGGAGCACCAAACCAGTCTGGTGATTATAAGCCCTCACTTGCACTGAACCAGGTAGCAAAAGCAGACAGAGGGACATGGGAGCAGCAGGAAAACAGAGCCTGGTGAAAAAGAAGTCAATCTGTGCAATCTGAAAATGACAAGCAAAAAAAAAAAAAAAAAAAAAAAAAAAACACAAACAAAAAAAAAAAAAAAAACCACAAAGGAGAAGCTCAGGTTCACTTTATTTCAATGGACAGGTTATAAAATTACTTTTGTCTGTCTGAAAAGCTGCATAAATTCACATTCATTTCAGCATCACAGTTCATTTCCACAACAAGAGTTACAAACACATCTCAGAACAAAAGCTGCACAAGGCAGCGCTCAGTGACACACAGCACCAGGCACTGCTGCCTGCACTCTGCCGGCCACATCCACACCTCCAGCTCTGAGCATCTCTGCCATGGGTGAAACCGCTCTCCAGCGATGCAGTTGGGGGCAGGAGGGCTGCGCGGGAGGGGAGCTGCCCAGGCTGCCACAGGGCTGAGCCCAGCACCGAGCTGTGCTGCTCACCAGGTGCCCTCCGGGCTCTGCAGTGCTGACAGCCCAGGGACATCTCTGGGAGCAACAGCTCAGAGAGGTTACCACTGTAATCCTGGTGATTCCAGCAGTGCAGGATTATTTTTCTCTTTTTCAAACTCAGCTATCTTGGTGCTGCTCCTTCTATCCTAATGCACTGTCATTCTAAAATTCCTCCTGTGGATTTGCATGGACGGGAACCTACCAGTGAGAGCACTGACAGGCAGGACAGCTGTAAGAACACGACAACATTGTGGAAATACAGATCTAAGAGGATTTGTTGAAGGCCCTGCTGGCAGGGAGTAGGAATAAGAGGAATGCCAGCCTTTGCCTGCATTCAGATCCATCTGATTGTGCTCCTGCTGATTGCTTTGCTTTGTAGCCCTTGTGCTTCAGTTCCTTTCCCTGGGCAGTGTAAGTGCACACAGCTCTAGGCTTACACTGCTCCTGTGATTTGCTGCGCCAACAAAATTATAACCACAGCAAACAGCCCGCATGGTGGTTACATATTACAAAGCACATCATTTAATTCAGAACCAAAGACTACATTACACATGAAAGACACTCAGGCAATTACCAGTGTTAGTCTATTTCTATAGTGTGCCTCAGGTTAATCTGACTTTAACTCTCATGGTTTGTGAAAGCAAAACAAGAAAGAAAATAACCTCTTATGCTTCTGCTTGCAAGTCCTGAAGGCTTTTTGACTTGTGTAAATCTCATATTGCTGTAAGCACATACAATAGGAAGGAGTAGCTGCTCCTTATGCATATCCCACAAAAGAAACATTAAAAAATGAGCTCTTCTATGAAGATGTTCTGGTACTTGTAACAGCACTATGAAGTGAAACAGCATTAAGCTACCTAAAAAACACGGATGCCTGCATTTCACTCCCTGTGCCCACATGGGTGCACTTTCAATCCTTTTCTGTATTTACCACCTGAAATCATTCGTGGAGTTATTAAGAGCAGGCTGAACACGGTTCTGGGCAACCTACTACAGGTGTCCTTGCTGAGCAAAGGCTGGACAAGATGACCCTCAGCTGTTCTGTGATCCAATTCAAACCATTGTAGAGTTTTCCTTACATAGCTTACTTTGCATGGACGAAGGAGCTGGGAGCAGCTCAGAGGGGTCTCAGTCAGCACAGAGCAATTGCACATTACACCTCTGTCCCCACTTTCAGAGGTGTCACAGATGCAAATCACAGCAGATCTTGCTTCAGGTTGAACCACAAGGGTCACCCACACCCTTCTCTGTACAATCACAAAAGAAAGAGACAAAACACAGGGTACTTTTCTCATGATATTTTTAAAGAGCTCAGAAACCATTAAGTGTTACACTTTGCTAAACGGAGTAAAATGAAGGAGTGCCATCTTCATCCCACTGTGTGCCCTGGGGCAGCAGTGCTGAGCCTGGTCCTGCCGCTCGTGCTCAAATCTTCAAGCTGAGGTGACTCCTTGGCAGCTGTCTGTGCATCACGGATGAGCAGAAAGGAGATGCTGTCAGGTGCTCAGAAGGCATGCTGCCAATGCAAACATTTGCTCACAGGCAGCTCACAGTCACCAGAACTGTGAAACATCTCCTCCTCCACATACTCACACCAGCTGGCAGAACCAACTTCTGATATGAGGCAGTCATGAAGTCACTGACTGTTTGTCACAGCTGTCCCCCCCACCAACAGAAAACTTTGCCCTTTCTTGTCCAAGCAGAAGGGCTGCTCAGTGAGGCTCCCTCCATGGCCAGGGCTGGGGACAGGGCTGGGGAGCAGACCTCCAGCAGCATCTCATCAACCCAAACCCAGCATCACACAGAGGAAGCCTGCTGGGTAAGGAACACACAGGATGTTGAGATCCTGCTCCAGCCCCCATGCCTCCCTGCTTCACAGCCAGCACTGAAACAAACCCAGATGAAGAACTGAAGAAAAGGTGACTTCCTCCTTTCTGTTTTTAGATGAATACTTTAAAACAACTCCTTTTTCTCTCAGCACAAGGGGATAACGTTATCTATTTTTTTTTCGGCAAAGTGGGTGTGGAAATAAAAGTTTCCTGCACAATTCTTACTCCTGATGACAGAGTTAAAATCCGCCCAGGAGTGGGAAGCCTGTAGCAGCAGCTGAACTAGGGCTGACAATGAGCAGAGCGCTCATATTCAGAGCGCTCAACAGCCCTCCAGCTCCTCACCAAGCTTAATGAACTATAATGAAAGGAAATTAATGAACTTTCCCCCCATTTGCCAAAGGAAAGAGCAGCTGGACCCAATATGAATGAGCATGATTAAGAACATCATAACCACCACTCAAAATAAAAGAGTGATACACCTAAACAGCCCACAGCAGTTTCTTATCATTAGAACCACTCAGCTAGCTCTGCTTTAATTGCCACTGAAAGACGCACAGAAAGGATTTTTCTACCTTTTCCATTTAAGACCAAGGACAGAAGTACATAAGCACAGACAAACACAGGGACTCAGCAGAGCATGCAGACAGGCGCACACAAAGAGCACCTCAGTGCCACCACACAGGGCAGCGTGACCATGGGAGGACAGGCATTACCTGATAGCAGACATAGGGTCTGGGGACTGCCAGGGCTGTGCCACCCCACACACCAGCAATGCTCACTCCTGGCATCACTCCCCACATCCCCTTGGGCGAGTGCAGGGATTGCAGCCACAGCCCCCCCCTGGGCTGTCACAGCAGCACACTGCTGACACTCTGTCAGTGGAAGCCCTCTCATACTTCTGCCCCAAGCACAAACCCCAGGTCACACTGCACTGAGCCTCTGGCTCAGCTTATGGCAGCCACGTGGCAGCAGCTGAACTGAGAGAACTGCAGGGAAATGTATGAAAGCAAACCACACCATAGAACAGCACAGCAGCCTCGATCCTGCTGCAAAGGAGCTGTACAGATACTGGGGTGCAGCACTTCACCAGCAGAACTGTGGCAGGGGGAAGTCACCAGATGCTCTGCAGCACAGGGAATCTTCAACTCCCAGCACAAGACACCTGTGCTCAGAACACACTGCCCACGGTGCTGCACAAGGATGCATCAGCAAGGCTGATTGCCATGCACAGCTGTTGCCATGCTCCACGATGTAGCTCTCAGACACTGCAACATGCTTTGCCCTGAACTTACATCTGCCCAATTACTCATCAAAAAAACAGCAATCCAACTCTAAATTAACATTTTGTCTACTGCATTCTTACTTGATTCATCAGAAAAAAATCCACACTAAAACCACAGATTCACAGATTAAGTTAATCGGGTGGGGGGGGAATAAGGCTCACAGTTTGGTTGTGAGACTGTGAGGCAATGCCCAACTCAGCTCTGGCAATGGAGTAAGACTGGATTTGGTCTAAGAGCTTCTAGTGAAGACCAAATCTGTTCTGGAGAGAAGAAAATAGGGGAATTCTTTCCTTTCTTGTGGATGAGAAGTATTTTAGAAGGACCTTTTACTCCCATTGTTGGCCTTCACTCAGTGGAAAGGGTTCCCCACCTTGGCTCCTAGAAGCCCAGTGTGCAATGGAAGTGATGCTCTGAAGTCTTTGCTGCAGACAATGCTCACAATGTGGACACAGCCAGAGTTCGTATGTGGCTGTTATAGCCCCGAGTTCTTTTTAGACATGAGTTTGAATCCATCATCCAGAATAGACCTCCGGTTCCGTCTCAGCTTCCTTTGCCTCTGGAGGTGGATGACGACTCCCAGGAGGAAGGCAGCAACCAGGAGGAGGACCAGTCCTGTAATGGCTAGAATGATGACTGCAGCTTCTACTTGCCCTAGAGGCAACTTAGCTCCAAAAAGCCTGACCTTCTGGGAGTCATCCTCATCCTCAGGTTGTGCCCCTGAGAGAGAAAAAAAAATAGTTGTATTATTTCCCACTCTCATTAGCACTGAAAGGTTCTGAGAAACATGGAAAAAGAGCAAAAGAATGACCCAACACAATCAAAGCAAGCTAAAGCAGACCCAGTCCCCATGAACCCAGACCCACACCACTCAGGTCAGAAATTTGAGAATAAAAGGTTCCTTCCCTACTCCACTCCATCCCACAAACCCAGCATGTCTCAAACTATCCCAGCCCTATCAGCTAATCACTGCTAAGCCATCATGAGGAAGGCAGTTGGGGGTTGTGTGAAGCAGCAGTGGCTGAGCTAGGAAAAAAGAACTGAGATAAGAACACACATCTGGACTGGGGCTCCTGCGAGGTCCCCACTCTGCTCCAGGCTGCCCCTGTGTGTGGCTTCTGCTGCTGTAATGCACTTCTCAGCCTTGCCAGCAGTGAGTCACTTCACATCCTGAGCTCTTACGCTTCTATAGTGAAACAGCAGAAATCCCCTGAGAAAGGCAGCTATTGGCACAGACAGCAACCCTCAGTTAAGGTTCTTACTTCATGAGCATACATAGGCTGATGCTCAAGTAAATGCAGAACAAGTTATTTAAGTATTGGCACACTGTCACTGTCAAAACTACTTCCTACTTTTCTTCACAGCCATTCTGATTGAGGAAAACATTGTTGAGAAGACAGCAGAATTGTCAGTACCAAGACTGAAGCTTTGCAGATAGATGGTTGTATTTTCTGCCAATTGAAGCTGTCTCTGAAACCAGCTCAGCTGCATTTACTGAAAGCAGCTGAGAAATACAGGAGTAGTTGTAAAGAGATGGAAAAGAAGAAGGGAAGAACGCACCACCATCAGCTCTTCCAAATGTTACCTCCAGAGAACTGGAAAAAAAGTCATCTACTACTTTCCTTTTCCCTCCTTCTGCTCAACCATCTGCTTCTTAAAAAACCTTAAAGAATGACAGCATATGCTTAATCTTTTTCTCTGTGGGTAAAACAGACCAGAAAGAAGTTGTGCTTGGTGGTGCACCCACTATGACTAGCTGGAGGGACTTAATCTGAACATTCCCTCAACCATACAGGCACTGACAGTCCAAAAAGGGAAAAAAACCTAATCTATGATCCCTGTGAGTTTCATTTGAAAGGAATCAGAAAAATCACAGCATCCTCCTTTACAACCCTTTGAATCTCTGCTTGTATGATAAATTCATATGCATAAGTAGGGTATGAGGCCACTGAGTTTTTTGACTTAAAAAGGTCAAACAAGCCAAAGCATCTTACCTTTTTTTTTTTTTTTTTTTAAATCATCAGAGCACAGATGTGTAAGAAACAGATGAGCTAACTTACCTGGAACTTCTCTATTACCCATCAGTAGCCAAACATCAGGCTAATGCTGCCCAGTCTGGCTGAGGAGGCTGTATACTGTCTTCGTGCTCCTCCCTTCTCCCCTCATTCTAGCACAAATCTAGGTCTCCATACTGACAGGAGATCTCTAATTCTTTGCCTCACACACACACACACACACACCTTAGCAGTGCAAGCCATACATTACCTTCATCGTAGTTCAAAACCACAGGCACTGGCTCTGAAAGGAAACAAGAAGTGGGTGACAAAGTGTGGGCTGAACAAATTGAGTCCAGAACAGACCTGACTTCTGACCAGTAATATCCTTATCAGCAACAATTGCTCACTGATGGCTGAACTTTGCTTCCCAAACTCAAACTAAAATAAATCTCATAATAATACCCTATTCAAAGTAAACTCCAAAAGCAATTTATTACCTCCAGCTGCAAGTATTACTATATTCAAAGGGAATGTCTTAATGGCAATTATATGCTCAATTAACTAGCTGTTTATGGTACAAAAGAGTTGCTAAGCGTGATGCAAACAGAATTTAGCAGCATTAATAAAAAATGCCATTACATGTTTGATGGTAGTAAGAAGTGATTATTTCTGACCTTGTCTGGGCAAGACTTGGAAGAGTATCTCCATGCCAGCATGAATATGATCAGACACATGGCAGTGAAGCAGCCACGTCCCAGGGTTCCCAGCCAGCATCTCTACCATTTCAAAGGTCCCAGGAAAGAGATCCACAACATCTGCTCTGTAGCTTTTGCCACTCTGTGAAGGAGAAGGGAGACTTGCACACAGCGCTCTGTGCATCTCTAAAGTTGTCAGCTTTACTGGAGACCACTTCAGTGCGACTACAGTTTATCAAAGCTCTACAGAACATTTCAAATAACAGCTCCAGGGCTGTAACTGAGAAAGCAAATAATGCCTAAACTAAAGCAACATTAGCTAGGCATATCAGCTATAAACAGAGGTTCAGCCTATCAAGTCTGGGTGCATAATACCACACTGTGCACTGTTCCTGTAAAACCATTCAAGAAGTTCAAGTCAGCCATGCAAATGCAATGACATCAGTGGTCATTTTATTATCAGCAGGATCTTCTTACCTTGTATATGAAGGTCTCAGCATGAAAATGGACCGTGTGGACATCAATCTCCTGTCCCATTCCCAGCAGGTACCAGTTCACCCACTCTCCTTCAAACATGGTCAGCCCAGGCAAGGTTGCATAGAGCCTCCCATTGATTGCTAGGCAGTGAATAACATACAGGGGAAAAAAAAAAGCTATTATTGAAATGGTAAAAATGCTGAATCACCTCAAAGGAAGAAAGCACAGGACAAGTTAGATGTTTTAAAGCTCATCTAGGAACCAGTGCATCAGTATTTCACATCTTCCATACAACACTGTCCCAAAATGTTTGGCAATCTCTCTATAGACTCATTACATACTCGTTCTGTTAACAGATACAGAAGACACAGCTTGCACCTAAAGCCACACAGTAATTCATCCCAAATAATCTATAAAAATTACTTGCAGAAAACCCAGAGTCTGGCTCAAAACAAGGGAAATGCACACAACTCGAACATTTACTTGCTGAATGACAACAGGCAATTTCTGCCAACAGGAACCCTGTCATTCTATGTGTCTTATGCTGCCTGCACACACTGTGTGCTAATCATCAAGGGAAAAAAGGAAATCACTACATGGTGGGACCTCATTTCATAATTAGCATAGCAAGAAGGAATAATGCTTTGACTGCAAATGCAGAAAAGAAACCAAAACAACGGGTGAGCAGGTTAATGTTCACAGGGCAACTGCCATGCTCAGATGACAGTGGAGGGAAAAATACTGGAAGAGACCTGATCTAAAAACAGGACCTCCCGTGTTTTACTCCCATATCTGCCAGGGGCACTTTGGGCAGCCCAAAGCAAGCATTCAGCCTTGGTGTGTTGCTTTACTAGTTATAACATTGGGCTGACAACTGTAACTGAACAGACATTGGTATTTGGAGATTCCTTATATTACCTCTATAAAATAGGCAGTAATAATAGCACACAGCACAACTCTGTTGTTCTCATCGCTGCAGCTGCCTAGGGGCTGGTATTGCTGAGAATACTTTAGGTGGAAAAACAGATACAGTATGTAAGGAACCATAAATAACACAAGATTTTAGAGGAGGTTTGTTAGTTCTGCTATAGGATGGTTTCTTCATAATCAACTAAATTCTATCTGTGTATTGCTGTCTGTATATTGCTGTCACACAGCCTGGTCAACTCATTTGAAATATAACATTCTAATGGTCCCAAGATGACTAGAATGAAAATAATCTGACATCTCATTTCACATCTAATATTTCCTGTCCAGAGTCAATCAGGCACACTAGATATTGAACTCTCCAGCCCATATCTTGCTATTTCTCCTGAGGAAGACAGTCATAATGATTAGCCTTCATTGGAAATCAAAGATCAGTGGCATATGTCCTACATTACTGAGAACAACCGAGAGTTTAACTGAGAGTTTAACTTCGTTTGTGCCACAGTTGAAGGGAAAGGGTGAGGGAAATCACCAGAAGTCAGGCTCTTGTTTTCCGGGCTTTTTTGACTGCTGATAGTGGTGAGAGTGATTAATAACCCTGCACAGATAGCGACAGCTGGGTGCCGAAGAGCCCAGCCAGCATTACCGTGCATTTTGTTGCTTTCCACAAACTTCTCATCCAACAGGTCAATATCCTTGTGACTTCCACTGCTGTAACGTTGCACGTTCTCCTCTAAGTACCAGGACATATTTTCATCAAAAACCAGGAACAGGAGAGCAAACTCCCTCTTCACATCCTTCCTGATCCCATCAGCTTGCAGTGTCCCTTTCCTGCAGACCTTGAGGGGTCCGATCAGACCGCTGTACATATCCTAATCCAAAGGAAGGGAAAAAATCTGAGCTCTTCCCCCTTCACAACTGCTCCCTGCATCACACCCCACTTACACTGTGCTGCTGTGTATGAACTCTCATTGGTAGCAATCAAGGAGCAGAGCACAAGGACAGAGACTACACACGCTCTTATGAATGCAAATCAAAGTCAAACGTGAATGGTACCAAAATAACCCCCACTATAAGACTGCAAAAACATCCAGAACTTGAAAGGAAAAGTCCATTATCTCCAGGTTCAATGTGATGCTTTACTGCAGTATCATTCAGGTCATTTTCCTTATGAAATCAGTGCTACGACAGCAGATTTCAGCAAAGCTCAGAATTTCCCTATTTTATCTATCTGTTCTAAATTTGAACAATTTCTGCCTTCCTGAATTAAACTTTTCACCAACTGAAGCGAGAACTCACTGGGAGATGTCCCCACATCCTGCAAATAACTGAGGGAAGGTTAATTTCAGCACGACGTGGAATTCTTTCCTGTAGGTTTGCATTAGGAAAATAGTGACAAACACCAGGGCAGATTTAGAGGATCCCCTCTCCCAAGAGAATGATAGATATGCCAACTAGGTGGTTTTTCTGCCCTTCACCTGGGCCAATTCCTAAAACATACTCAAGTTGCATTGTTTCCTAGATAGGACAAAAATTGGTCTGATCTTGTTTTTTTTAGTTCTATCTTCTTGTATTTTACCTTCACAGGGTCTACCATGGAGTAGTAGATCCAAGGGACACAGGCTGAATCATCCGGCCCTGGACCAGACCTCTCAGGAATTTCCCATTGGTATGTCACTATGTCACCTGAGGACAGAAGCACCATTAGCACCACTGCGATAAAGGGAGTCCCCAACTTTTAATGGCAGCAAAGCAGAACAAAAACAAAAGACCACTTTGTCTCAGAATTACAACCCATTGTTGGATGTTGCATCACTCACAGGTGCTGAAAGAAGGATGGAAGCTCCCCTCTCACAAACAAAGCAGAGGGGTGACAACAGATGCACACTAGCTGGAATTGGCACAACTCAGTCTTATCTGCCATATTTAAGACTAGACCGGAACGAGGGAATTCTGCCCCTCTTCAGCACCTATGATGTTTGGAATGATCTTTCACCTCTTTGAAGTTTATTTATGATGCTCAAATTCCTTTTTAAAGCTAATATTTTGCTTACTAGCACTATATCTCAGAAAGACAGGGTCCAACTTAAAGCCTGTTTGTTGCAGAGACAACCTTCCAATGAGCATACTCTTGAAGGAGACCAAAAATTACATAAATGGACATCTGGACCATGAACAAAATTTCAGTCAGCGTCCTGGAAAGCAGCTGTGCACATTACAACAAAGACAGATCATGAAGAAAAACAGGGGCCACCAGGCCAGGGCTACCAGAGCTGAGAACAGTGATCAGCCTTCTTCTCACAGACCACGCTCGGTGTGGGGGACAAGGCTATACAGAAAAAACGTACTGCATTTACCCCAAAGTCAGAGCAGAAGCACAAGAACTCCCCTGGGCTGCCCATATAAGTGACAGTCAAAAAACACAGTGAACCTGAAAGATCAGTTTTTGTTCTGTTCCAGTCCTCTATGAGAAGAAAACAAGTACATCTAAGCCTATTTAAAGGAACAATCTAGCTGTAGGCTAAAATTAGTTTCCTAACTTAGTGCAGGAATAAGGCTGGAGGACACTGACTTACCAGGATGTGCTACTTGTGGCTGTCCTGCCTGCCTTTCCAGCACCCCATGGGCATGAATGGAGTAGGGTCGTGAAGCATTGTTCTTGAATACAACATTGAGAATCTCTCCCACTTCTGCCCACAGAAAAGGACCTGAAAATAGTAGTAATGTACACTAAAACCAGCAAGAACTGTCGTATCTTCTAAAGATTATCCCCCACTTTTCTCATTCTTTTCTCCCCAGAAATACTCCCTTGTAATACATATGATGCTCCCCTGACTCATCACTACTATAACTCTACCACCAGAAGAGAGCATTGGAGAACAGTCCCAATTCAAGAAAATATGAGTTTCACAACGAGGGAAATGAAGGCTATTACACATTTTAGCTGTAGCCTATCCAACTAAACCTTAATTTCTGAATATACACCAAATTTTACAACATTTTTTTATCTGATGTTTTTGGTTTCAAAAATATTGGCAATACTCAATATGGACTGACAGCATCACAGATCAGAACTGCAGTCTATTTCAAATGGCCTCAACTTTTCTGCCCTGCCACCACTTGCAGTCCTGGGTTCATTAAAGGAATGTCTCCACAGACCTTTACAACACCACAGTGTTTCTGCATTTTGCAAAGCCTGTGTGCTATTACTCCCCCCTCCAAAAACCTTTCATACCTACAGATTTTCACCCACATCTCTGACTGCTCTACAGAAGACAGATTGTTCCATAGAGAAATGCTTTGCTTCAGGCATGGAAGAAAACTGGCAGCAAACACAGGCCTGAGAACCCAGCTCTCTACTACGAAGCTGTACTCAGGACCCTCTTTACTGCTTTATCCAAAGCTGGCAGATCTGGACACTCGGGATTTCTCCTTACTGGCATACACAGCACACACCTGAGTACGCAGGGGGCCTTCAGATTACAACCCTTAGCCCAAGCACCACCTGTATGAAGGGAATACTCTGGACATTTCCTTACCTAGTATCCCCAGATGTTCGTCACCATTTATCCTAGCTTTAGGGGTCTGGAAAGTCCCATCTGTGTATTCCCTGTAAACTGCTTTCTTGTACCTGGAGCCAATCAGTCCATCCTTATTGCTCAAAAATATATCGGCGTAGCTGAGAAGTGCAAAACAAGTGCTGTGTTACTCAAATGGGCACACAAGGCACAGGCAGTGAGCCCGTGGTACGAGGCTCAGCAGCTGACAGGTTTCCCAGAGTCCCATTTCAGCTGCAAAGGCTGGCAGCAACACCTGGGCTACATCACCAGCCCCTGCAGCACTGGGTACAGCCACAGCACCATGCCACACGCAGCCAAGACATCCAACAGATTTCACTCAGGTCTGTTGAACAACCTTGCCCAGGACTTCCCCAGCTCAGGCTGTACCTCTCAGCAGAGTGGTTGTGCCGCTCTCTCTCCCAGCTCCGGTCTGGTGCGTAGTCCCACTCCACCTCCTCTGCCACTATGTAGTACGTGCGCACCGCTCTGAATGGGAGAGCGGGAGGCAGAGCCCTCCTGTTGCAATTGGAAACCGAGTACTGCTCCCTCATTCCAGCCTGGTAATGATTGCTCGTCTGGCAGTAGATCTCAAAAGTCCCTGCGGGAGGTGGCACAAACAGGACATCAGCTGCTTCAAAGATGCCAGGAAGCAGTGCTTCCCACAGTGTGTGACATCAGCACGCGTGCTGAGCAGATATGGGTGTTTGTTTAAGGAGCAGGAATGACAAAGTCCCACACAAAAATTACCTCAGCAGGCCATCCTGCACAAAACAAGCAGCTTATTAGACATGAAGAAGCCAAGGAAGTGACAACTATGCTACCACTGCTGGTTAAGCAAGAGATCCAGCCTGCAAAAGCTGAAGGGGAGGAGACAAGAAGCATTTGAGGCATGATGGCGAGGTAGCACTGTGTGCCTAACTCCCAAACTGAGAAGACACGGGTCTGTTATTGTGAACCTCTGCACACCACAACTCTGCTTCATTCTGAATGGTATGGCTGCATGTTTCTATGGATTACAGGCAGCAAAGTGCATCAGAGCTACTATTGCAAATACTAAATAGGAAGTGACAGCTTAGAGAATCAATCTGGGATGATGGGACAAGATTCTGTATCTCCCATTCTTCTCCAGAATCAGGTGCAAAGACAAGAGCTTTGGGCTTGCGAATAGGTCTAAACAAGATGCAATGCACAGCTCAGCCTGTAATATGCAAGAGTTCACACTGCTAATGAACCAGCCACAGTAACAACCTGTTACAACCAGAGACTTATCCTAATGCTGGGTTAAGTGTGCAGACTCTTACCCTTGTTGTCAGGCTGCATAAAGGCAGTAGCAAACGTATGGGGGAACAGGTTGGCTGAATCTTTCCGCATCCCATTCATCTGCAGAGTGTTTCCCTGAAACACAGCTCCATGTACATCTGCTTCACTGCCCAATCCCAGAAGGTGCCAGGACACATTGTCTCCTTCACACATATCCAGCCCAGGCAAGTTACCAAACATATATCCATTGATGGCTGCAAATGAGAAAATAATTCACTCTCTGGTAGATATCAGCCAGGAGATTTATTCTGTGCATCTATCTTGATAGGGTGAGCATACCACTGGAAAAGCATCTTCCTCTTAATTCACCCGTGAACACACTCAGGACAGACTTCCCAAGACAGCAGTGCTTCTCGCCCCACATCCCACCCGCTCTCTGGCCTCGCCTGATTTCAGCCCAGCACAACACACAGCCACTCCAGGTTCCCAGCTCAGACTTTGGGTGAGCACCAAGCAATGTTTGGCAGATTCACTCCTGCTGCCCACAGAACAGCATCAGGCCATACCATGCATCCTGTTCGATTCCTCAAAGCCATCATCCTTTTTCAGAGAAGTCTCTTCCATCCTCAAATAGTACTTTATGTTTGCACTTAAATACCAGCTGAGGTTCTCATCAAACACACTGAAGAGAAGGTAAAATTCTTTGTCGATACCTTTCTAAGATACAATCACAATGACGGCTGTTAATTTTTTAAAATGTCCCCATTCACTACCCTTACAGATCAAACTGTTTTGTCTCTCATTTTCCCCCTTCTCCTGTAACTTGGCTCACTGAGGGCAGGGCTGTCCTTTGCTCATTTTGAGTGTTTCAGTTCTGCTCTACAAGCAGCACCACTCTCAGGTTTGCCCTGGTATGCCACATGAGCAAAGCGATCAAAATCAGGAGAGGAGCACGACAACATTGCCTCCTTCCCCACCACGCTTACATTTACATGTAGGCCAGAGAACATGGCTTATAATCACAACCCACCCCTCCTTTCTCCTACCACAGGCCTTAGTTTGGGAATTTTGTATTGCCTTAAAGCCTTAAAAACGTTAACTCTCCTAAGAGATGCACTGCACAGGATGGTGTTCCCCCATTAACAGAACATTGCCAGTACTATCCAGATGCTTACTTTGGTATCTGTTTCCTTAGCTGTACAAAGGAAAACACCCTAGACAGGGCTAAGCATTTTGTAGTCTGCGGCACGTAGGTATGTATGAGGAATGGCTGTGCATCTTTCCCAATTAACAATTAAAGGGTTACCTAATATCATGGAGCTGCTGCCCCAGATGGTTCTTCCAATCATACATCTCCAGATAAGTCCACCTGTTCTGTTTATTGCCTCTCAATACTGAAAAGCTCTTATTACCACAGTTCCTTCACACAGTGCACTTCATATACTCGTGATCCTCTCTGCTCAACCAGCTCACTAGTGCAGAAATGTGAATCTTCCAATCTATTCAGAACTCTCAGTTTAGCTACACCCTGCCACCAGTGAAAGCAGACTGCCCCAGGGAGGCTTAGCAGCAGCAGCGTCCTGATCTTTCAGCCACTCCCTGATCTAAACTGCCAGACAGGTAAGGTGACACCAGGCTGTTTTTCTGCTGCCCACCATTTCTCACAACGCAAGTCTGTTAACGACTTGCACTTCCCCAGGTTGGTTTACTGCCTTCCCCAGGCTTACTGCATTGAGTTATCCCTGACTGAAATTCCAAGAGCAAGTTCTGGCCATTTCCCAGATCTCACTTATCTTTCATCACAACCAGAGACTGATGCAGATTTTCAATTGTTGTAGTAAGCTCTGCTTGAAAATGAGCTTAAATTGCAGAACAAGTGAGACTCCCCCAAACCTCAGAGCATCACAGTCATTTGAGCACACCATGCAGATTTTCAGATGTGTGCACACCATGTAGGTGTGTTAAGATGGCTCCTCAATGTCTCTAAGGCTGCAGTGAATATTCTTTTGCTCTGAAAAGAGTATTTTCAGGCAGTCAACTACAACTCTCAAGGACCAAAGTTACCTGGAAAGTCACACCCAAGGTACATTCGCATCTGAGTTTTAAAACAAAGCCCAGAAACTATTTCAAGGGCAGTCCTGAACGCTGGCCTTTCCCACCAGACCTGCAGCACCCAAGTGCATTGATGTCAACCTGCCTTCTGACTTAGATTAGACTCTCCTGAACTCATACTATCACGTGTTTATTTTCAATGGTTTGAGGATGTTTCCTTTCCCTTTAAGGATACAAAGAATCTGATAAGAGCATGGCAGGAAAAATCCTTTTTACCTGTTTGTTGTTGTCATCCAAAGTGCCCGGCTTGCAGATGACCAGAGGGCCTACCAAGCCTGAGCTGGTATCTCTGATGGGGTCCACAGCAGAGCTGTACATCCAGCTCAGGCAGGGAGGGTCGCTGGATGTCGGCCCAACGTGCTTCGGTATAGTCCAAGCATATGTAAAATTGTGCAGAGGTGGAACAGACACCCCATTTCGGGACACACCTTCAAAAACAGATGGGCATGGTTATTCTTAAGGTCTGTACAAACCCAGTTGCATCCTCTCACCAGTTACACTTTCATGCACATCACATCTGAGGTACAACGTAAAGTGTTCAGAAAGTGCACTCAGCTGCTCTCACAATCCCCTTCCTGGTATCAAGGCAGAGATGGGCATGCTGACAGCAAATAAGTGGACATCACTACATCTAGGACATGTGCTGGCAGTACATGGGCTACCTAAGCTGGAATGCAGTGGGCACATTCCTCTGCTCAGTAGGTCTCAAGCAGTCAGAAACAGCCTGAGGTTTACTTTTACCATTTCTCAGGTGAAAATGGTACCTTTGGAACCATGCTACCTCAGGCATCCTCCCTGGGCATAAAATCTGCAGAAAGACTCCTTCACTTCTTCCTCAGACAGACCCAGAGAACCAGGCAGAGTGCCACCCAGCTCCTGAGCACATTCAGTCCTTCCTGGCTGCAGGAACTTCCAACACAGAAGAGGCACAGGCTATGGAGCTCTACCACCAGGAAGAGTATTGAATTAATAAAAATAAATGAGCCACAAACCATCATGGTACAGCATCCCTTCCCATGCCTTCCCATAGGACACTCCATGAGGCTGGATGCTGAATGGCCAGGAGGCTTTGTTAGCAAATGTCACCAGGATGGTGTCACCAACTTCAGCTTTTATTACAGGACCTACACAAACAGCAGAGAAAGCATGTTAACAGCTGAGCAAATCACAGGACAACCAGGTGAACAAAGTAAGGCAGTGCCACCTTTGATCCAAGGCTGATGGGAACAGACTGGAGGGGGATGAGTTTGAATGAGTCTGCGCAGCTCCCCCTGTGGATGATGCTTATCTGACCTTCATTTTTTGTTTCTTCCCTATTTATTTTAGGGAAAAATATCCACAATTCCTATGAAGTCATACGCAAGATTACCCTATCAGTTCTCTCCCCGTGGCTACTGCTGATAACAACAACCCTTGTTCTCTTCCCACAGATCTGTGTTTTATTCCATGTGCTCCTTCCTCCCATGGCCTCTCCCAGTACCTCTATCACTAACTTCTGCTCTCATTAGTCTACACTGATGCAGGAAATTGGACCATGCTCCTACTGCGTACCTCACAGCCTTCACATGACTCATTTGCCCTTGCAGACTCCCTGTATTCTTATTTTGCTTCACCTCTCATACTTACTGTATAATCAATTAATATAAAGATGTTATAATTGTGAAATAAACCAGAGAGTTTGGCTAAGCAAATAATAACAGAAAGAGAATAGATAGAATGCTTACACGTGTCCTGGGCTCACTGCAAACTCCAGAGGAGGGATCTCCAGCAGAGATCCTTCTCCCCTGGCAGTCAGCCCTTAAATGGCTCTGGGAGAGGCGCAGCCAGGCTCCATCCCTTCCGGCAGCACAGGAGAATTGCCTTCACCTGTGCTCCGGGGCTGACTCAGTGCTCACCTCAGGTGGTCAATCAGACCTTCAGGCTGTGATTCAGCAGCTCCCATTCACCTGGGTATCACGGAGAGCACAGAAGCAGAAGCTTTCTGTGAGCACTCTGGTGATACTCAATGGACCCACAGGTTCATCCAGCCACAAACACTATACTGTCACAAATACTATAACATGCTTCTCCATTCCTTACTGCTGACCTCCAAGGAGTGCTCTGGCAGGAAGGCAATTCCCTACGTTCTACATTAAAATACCTTACCACACTGAGAAACAAGGGCACTCCTTACATAAGCCCATCATTCATGCTGGCACTAAAAGAGGTTTGTATTGCTGGATGATTCCTACCAAGTATCCCAAGGTGTTTCTCTTCTTCAGACTGCTGTTTTTCCTCACGGAAGCTCTCATCAGTATATTCCACATACTTCACCTTCCAATAGACTCCTCCAATTCGGTAGAGGCTACGCTTGAAAAACTGCTCAGCAGGGCTAAAAATGCAAGACACAGATAACGTGTCATTTTTATGAAAGATCAAAAATAAGTAACAGCTGTAAAGATTTTCCTCTCCTGTCACATCCTCAGCAATACACAGACGTAACCTGCCTTGCAGGAGAGGCAGTTTGGTTACAGGGACCAGTCACAGCTTTCAGTTCTAAGGTCTGCAAGTCACTGCAGGGCTTTGGGTAAATCATTAAATTCTCTGCACTTCTACTTCTCCCTCCAGCAGCTTCCTAGGGAAGGGAATGGAGAGAGAAGCATGTCTTTGTTTCAGTTTGCCAAAGTCTGAAAGGGAAACCACTCAACCAACCACTATCAAAGCTATCTGACAACTAGAATGGAAGGACGTCAAGAGGTCACTAGATTTGATTTCCAAGAAACTCCTTGCTGCAGCAGGGCTACATTGAAGCATATCTGCAGGCTAGCTCTGCCACCCTGTGTCTGCTGCAAGACCTGTTTCCTTAACAGCTCATCAGATCTCTACATTTCTTCTTAGGTCAGACACAAGCAGCAATGAAGCACAGAGGCAAAAGCAGCAGCTCACATCCTACACAAACTGGGACTCTTGGAGCTTATAGGTAAGGCTATGAAACAAAACAGAACACTTCCATGTGAACTCCCCTGAGATACCCAGTACTGCATTCAGTGCAGCCCAGCTATAGCAGCTGATATTTCTAGATGAGCCACTCCATGCAAACTGCAGGCACACAGCTTGCTAAGGAATAAACCCCATATTATCTTAACCAACCTCCCCCAGCAGACTGGAGACCTCCAACTACAGCTGAAAGACCATCAGCTTACCTGCCCACCTCACTCAGCTGTTTCCCACTGCTGCGGTCACGTCCTGAAGGCCCATAGTCCCACTGCACCTCCTTTGCAGCTATGTAGTACTTCCGAGTTCTGCCCTGCAGGGCGGGCTCCGGAGCTTGCCGAGAACACGGCCGGACTTCATAGATGGCAGCCATCCCAGCTGCCCACAACAGGTGGAGGACACATCAGCTTAACGTTACACCTCTCAGCCACTGAACAGAGCACCTTTCTACCAGAAACTGGATTCTCCTCCTCTGCTGTCCCAAAAGGTACATGCCTGAGGTGACTGGGTTGTTCCCACAGAAAGGAGCTTCTTTCTGCTGGTGAGCAGAGCTCCTTATACTTAAACTCTGGATGCTTCGTGATTATGGACAGACAGCAAACAGAGCCTTCTTCTGATGTATCACACCAGGAATTCTTAAAGGAACTAGCACTTTTAGGGCACTGTCTCATCTCAGCTTTCAGCTGTGTCAAATTTACCATTCACCAGCAATTGATGTAGAACATCACACCACTCCCAGTAAGTTTGACCTACATATTAGCAGCCAATTGACCCTACTTCATACAAGACAAGGAATCGCCCATTTAACTATGGACATTTCTAGTGGGAATGCTGCCCAAGACACTGCCCCTCATCACACTGTACATCACAAGACACGTGATGGGGACAATGATGGACACTGGGTGAAAAAAGGGAAGCCACAGAGTGCAGAACAGATTCCAGCCTCTGTCTTACCTTGTATGTGATCATTGAGCTGACAGCTCAGTAGCCATCTCCCAGGGTTACCAGGGATCATGTCTGCTGTAACAAAAGTAGCTGGGAAGAGGCTGGCCACATCTGTCCTATGGTCTCGAATGCTGAGTGTTTCTCCATGGAAGTAGGCTGTATGAATGTCAATTTCATTGCCCATGCCAAAGAGGTGCCATGCAACATGATCCCCAGCACACATTGTCAGTGCAGGGAGATTCCCAAACACATAACCATTGATAGCTGAAAAGGCAAGCAAGTTAAAATCAGAAGTTAGAAAAAGGGCCATCAGAGCTTCTACCCGCAGGTCACAGCAGACATGTTTGAAGGGGGAACCAACCTTCCTCTTCTTCTTCTGGAGAGCTTGGCTCTACAACTCATTTCATAACACAAACCATTTTTCAGAATCTCCAAACAACTAAGAGACTCACTCAAGCCAAAGAATAAAACAAAATACTTTCTATTTCCTGGAGCTGCTGCAGTTTGTGATAGTTTGCCTATCACCTGATCTCAGAGCTTTCTATACCCCTTTTCCTCTCTACCCACAGCCTGACATACAACAGCGGAAAGCGCATTTCAAGATTTCAGAGCACTGACCCATCCAGAGCATCTGGGCAAAGGCAGTGGCTTTACAGAATTGACTCACCATGCATTTTGTTGCTCTCTTGGAATTCCTCATCTTCTTTGTCTACAGATCCTGGATCAGTGCAGAATGATGCAATGTTCTCATCCAAGTACCAGCTTAGGTTCTCATCCACCACACTGAACATGAGGAAGAAGTCAACATCCACATCCTGCCGCCTTTGAGAAGTGCCTGTCAGTATTCCTAGGGGGAAAGAAAAGAATGAATACCCGTTCATACAGAAAAGCAGACACTGGTTTTAAAGGCTTAAAGAACCAATAAAAGAACAACAGCTTATCACACAAATTACAGATGGATGCTTCCTCCACCATTCTGGCACACTGCAGAGCTTCAGCAATCTCATACACTTCTGATATAACCCTGCAAGCTCAGTCCCACACTGCTCTAGCTCTGCATGGCTGAACTAGAACTCTTTCAGTGTTCTGAGTGCTGAAATCAATCAGTATCTCTATTTTTAAAATATACAAACTAGGTCTCATGCAAAATTCCTTCTCTTAAAATGAATTCAAATAGCCCTGTCAATCAACAAACCTACAAACTCATCTACCTGGCCACAACAGGATAAAGGCAATTCAGTGACTGCAACCCAACCAGAACACAGGTGCTGTCATCTCCAGTCACATCACATTTTCCCTACAAAAGTGGGAGCTGCCCACTGGAGCATCCTTTCATCCTGCTTCTGTTCAAGTCACCACAAAAATCTTCACTACCAGAAACCACAGCCCTCAGCTGCTTTCCCTTCTTACCTTCCTTGCACGTTACCAATGGCCCAATTAATCCAGATGCAATGTCTTTTGGTGCATCAACATGAGAGTGATAGATCCAGGTCAAGCAGTTTGGATCATCAGCTGTTGGGCTGTGATCTTCAGGGACAGTCCAAGTGTAGGTGTAACTCCCTCCTGGGAAGACAGCATCATCCTTCTTCTGATCCTGGGGGGACATATCGGGATACAGGGATCCTAGAACAATTGAGCAATCAACGTCCATTCAAGAAGAGCAGAAATACTCATACACATAGCCTTATAATGAGCCTCTCACACTTAGATAGCTGCATACAAGTAGAGGATAGCATCTTTCAAAGCAACACTCAGCAACCCAAGGTTGAAACAGCAATTAAACATCACTCTCTCAAAAAGAAACCAAGGCAAAGAACCACTGTAAGGCAACTTGCTCAACAAACAGGTTAACAGAGTCAGAAAGGTTATTCTCATTCTCCCTACCACTGCTTTGCCTTCAACAACACCATGTGCCAGTCAGCCTTCCTACAAGTCTCTAGGGTTCGCTTGAAATCGCAGCTCCTTGGCCTCATACTTCATTCTTAGGAACACTCCAAATAATTACTGTAACTCTTCTCCTGTGCCACTCTCCCAGAAGCAAGTTTTAGAGGTTCTATGAAAATCAGGAAATCTGGACTGTGTACTGCAATGCCCAGGTCAGAAGACTGCTCCCAGATCCATGAAGGTAAGTCAAGTCACAATGCTGGATTAGTACAGACCAAAGTGCAGCTGCTTCCCAGCAACACAGCTCTGGGCTAACCAAGTCTGGGGTGTTTTTTTTTTTTTTTTTTTTTTTTTTTTTTTTTTTTTTTTTTACAGACACTTCTCAGTGCATACTCTTCAGTTTCCCAACCAGAAAAATCCATCTCTTTTATGGCAGTGGTTCATTTACCTTCAGAGTCCTTCTCGTAGAAGACACCGTGAGGATGGATTGTATACGGCCGACTAGCAAAGTTTTTCAAGTGTACTTTAATGGTATCTCCCACTTCTGCTCGGATGATGGGCCCAAGGAACCCCAGCCACGCCGGTTTGGGAATCTCAGCAGTGTAGGTAGAGTCTATGTATTGCTTATAGACAGATTTCTTGTAAGTACCTCCTATCCTGTCCTTGCCAGGCTGGAGGAACACTGAGGCCCTTCTGTTAAATTCAGAAGAGAGGAAGACACTGTGAGTCACACATTACACAAAACAGAATGTAACACTGGAGAAAGCTGTGTGTCACTGCTGCTCCCAGGTAAGACCCAAAGCTTTCAGCATCACAGAAACCTCCCATGCCCTACCTTAACATATCCATACCCAGCAGCTGCGAGGGGAACACAGCACCATACAGGCAGCATAGCCAACAGCATCATCTGCTACACAAAATTCAGCAGAGGACACTGGGCAGCTAATGGCTTTGTGAGTCCAGAAACTGCTACAGGTACATGTAGGGGTAAACTCCTGCTGACACACAGCCATGGCCTCGTCCTGAATTCATCATGGAAGGGCACAGAGCGCATCTTGAACTTTGCAAACTGTGGGGTGTGAAGGATGGCACTTCTCCAGCAGTCACAGACAAGGGACACAGGGAAGAACAAAGCCCTTCCCTCTCCTCCATCAGCCTTTATTGTGTTTTGGAAACACATCTCAATGCCTCTGTAGGGTTTGTTGCTGGCTCAACAAACAAGGTTAAAAATACTAATAATAATCTCACAGCTCTCCAGCTGAGATATGCAGCCTGAAGGGTGCTTTTCAACTCATTTTTTGCCATTTACTTGCAAAATGACAGGCAAGTATGGCAGGTATACACCCAGCACATTACAGCTTTCAGAGGTGCCAAAGTTCAAGACATGAGTATATTTGCTCTTCATGACTATTTCTTAGTAGATAAAGAGATGAGTCATGGCCCAGATATGAACAACACAGGCGGAGATGAGAGCTCGGGTTACTTTCCCCACCCCCTTAGGACTGAGCAATGCTCACTGTTCTGAAATGGGCAAAGCCAGCGCTCATCTCCAGAAGACAGACAGCAGAGGTCAAAAGAGTAAACGCTGCCTTTGTCATTCAGAGCTGTGGAGGGCTGGGCTCCAGCTATACAGTCTAAAGCTCATGTTTGAGAAGCCATCCCTCTAGCTAGTATCAAAGTATATGGGTAATTCAGACTTCTCTGCAACCTTTCTCCACGTAGCCCATCCCTTTCAAACTAAAGAATTCTGTTTTACCACATCTGCCATTCTCCTACCAGTTCTTATTGCTAGCAGTTTCACTTCTGCAATCACTGCACACAGGAGCGCTGTTAGCTAACTGTTTGCAGTGACAGCTTTAGAAGAGTTTAACAGCTCCTCATTTCATTTCTTCTCTTCACGTACTCCAAGAGATAGTAAACAATAAATACTGCATTTGTTATCACTGTGGGTACCAATGAAAATACCTGCGTCACTTGATTCAGCCCGACCTTGGGGGCTTCTTTTCTGCAAACAAACTGAGCCTATTTGGCATCTCCAGAGAGAGGCGACTCGTGCTGAACTGACAGCCCTTGCTTTTCCTCTGCCCTCCTCCTATTCCTGCTGGATTGCTGGATGTAGAAACCGCTGGGTGCTATTTGTTATGGCACACAGCACTGAGCGACTGGGCAGGCCAACAAATAATTTGTCATAGAAAAAGGACTAAAACAAATGCCTTCAGAAATTTGTGGAAAGCTACAAAAAACAAAAGTTTGTTATGCTGAAAACTGGGAACAAACTGTTTTTGTAGTGACTCAAAGGGATTACTGCACTTTCCAGATTTACTTCTCTCACAAAAACAGAACATTTTCCAAACAACCCCAAGATTTCACTAAGCGAGTTCCATCACCTCCAAGGCTTGAAGTCTCAATGAACAAAAACAAGCCAGCCCCATGGACTCATTTCCATGGAAGTGAAAAGTTGTCATGCTTCAGGATACCTACATCACCAACTGGAAGTAGGAAATGCAAACCCCAGGGCAGAGCATTGCACAATCTGCTCAATTATAGTGTTTTCACTTCCCTCCAACGTAGCTGGCACTGGTCACTGGATGCTTCATTAAATTGACCATTCGCTTCCTCACAGGAACAGCTTTATCGTAAGAACACAGAAACAAGTTAACCATTAAGCTCATAAAGGCCACACAGCTGATCCTATCTCCTGCTTGCTTAGATGACCCAGAATACTTGCACAAAATTACTCAGGTAGCACAAGACTCAGTTCTTACAGAACTAAACGTACAGGCTACGTGCGATGCTTTGGTTGCTCATCACATTCATTCCTGTTGGAGCATAATTCCAGTCCACCTCATGGATCCCCAGGTAATAGACTCGGGTGATGCCTCCAGCAAACAGGGGCGATGGCCAACAGATGCAAAGCAGCAACAGCCAGAACAACCGCATCGTGGTGTGAGCAGAACACTCTTCTGGAGGATATGTCTGCGGGCAGGAAAAAAAAAGGAAAGGAAAAGGAAGCAGAATCTGACCACATAACTGTATCCTAAATTAGTTGGTTTGATGACACCCGCACATCGAGCCAACATCGTTTGAGAGAGTGTGAAGTCAGGTAGAAGCCCTGCGGGGATCATTACCTGAATGCCCACCAGGGTGAGGAATAAAGGAAATCCTCATGCTGCACAATGAGGGCACAGATTTGCCTTGATAATCAGCACACACAGCTCCACACCATGCTTTCCTCATCACAGTTTAACTCACTGCTTTGTCAGTAGCAATTCCAAATATTTTGTTTAATAGTGCTGAGAAAATGCTGCTATAATTGGCAACCCCTTCACTAAGAGGGAGATGAGGTGAACAGAGCTGTTTGCAGCAGAGTCACCCACAGTGCCATGCTGCATGACACAAAGCAGGGGCTGAACCTGCCACAGGCACCAGAACTTCAAGTGACATTTTTCACCAACATTTTCACCAATGTCCCAAATAATCATAAAGGACTGCATAAAAGGCAGAAGAAAACAATCCTGAGCAAATAACACTGAAGTACTGTTAGCACAATCCTTCTCTGCTCTACTAAGCCACCGAGAAATACAATTCCACCACCAAGAAGCATTTCAAATTCTAACTACCCTCAAGGATGCTCTTAAGGAATGGTCCCCTGCCACCCTTGGGTATGTCTGGATTAGCAGCACAAGGCTGGTTCCCTTCAACTGGTCCCAGTAATACTTCCCCATGATCTACATCATGAAGCAAGGAGTTTACTCATAAACACTGCACTCAGCATCAAGTTCAGTGTGAGGCACCAGGAACACTCTGGGGGACTCAAGGAGAGCAGCAGGAATTATGTGAAAGCATTCCCAATATTCTATCTTACTTGCCTGAAGGAGAAACTGATGGAGCATGAGAACACAGAATTACACAGAGGATATAAAAATAGATATGAAATAAAGTGGATGAGAAATTAAACACAAACCCACACAAAAACGTTTAAGAAAGATCTCATGCAGAGATATAACAGGGTTATGTGCAGCCTATAAAGAAACTGGCAGCTAAAATACAGACCCAGTTCTTGAGATACATAAAAGCAACTTCGAAAAAGTTCAAAGAGAGAAACCAAGGACACAAGTAAAGAAAAATGCAACAAAGGAGCGACGCCATAGCTTTTCGTAAACTTCAAGAAGGCGACGGCGGCAAAACACTACGCAAACACAGACGGGTTTTGTCTACGATACAAGGATGGCTGTTATCGTTCAGCCGCGCTCCGCTGGGAGCACCAACACAACGCGCAGCCCCGGCCCGCTCAGCCCCGCGACTCTGCCTCCAGCTGCGCTGCCGGCGGCCATCGAACTGCGCTGCCCAGAGTTCTTTCTATGTTGAAATAAGACTTGATTAAGAATAAACGCAAGTTTCGCGCGGGTCCCTGAACCTTTTTGTTTGGATAGCAGAGTTTTCCCAAGAGTTAGTATTCTTAATTAATAAAACAGGAATCGTAGCCGAATAATTCAAGTTAATCGGCTCGCTAATCAAATGCCACTAATCAGACGAATTCACCCGACGGAACCCGGGTTTCTCAATAGAGAAAAAACACGACGCCCAACGGGAAGGGGAGGGGGAGCACGCGCGGGCAGAGCCGCTTCGTTGCTTACTGTGCGGAGGGTCGGCCGCCAGCAGAGGAACATCTCCGTCCGCGGCGGCGGCGCGAGGGGAGCGGCCCAGCGAGCACCGCGGGGCGAAGTCCACCCGGCTGGGGGCGCCACCCGCAGGTGGGGTGGGGCCCGGGATGCCCCCGCACCGACCGAGGGGAGCGGGTCCGCCCGACACGGACTCCGCAGACGGGCACTCGCACGTTTCTCAGGAGGGCTGAAGCCGCCCGCGGCGCATCCCGAGCAGCGACGGCCCGGCGGCCGCAGCTCGGCACGCGCACCACCGTACCGAGCCGCACCTGTTCTAGAGCCGCCCCGCTCATATCCGAGCACGGCCCACACCTGCCCGTCGCAAGTAGAGCCGGAGCGCGGCCGAACCTACCTGGGAACGCGGCTCCGCCCACCACTTCTCTCCCGCGGGACGCGCCGAGCTCGCCGCTGCTGCCGCGCGGTCCCTTTAAAGACGCGCGGTGAAGTCACAAGGCCGCGCGCCGCGCTCCCCAGAGAGCAAAACAAGAGGCACGCGCCGGCAGGGGGCGGGGCGAGGCGGGCGGGGCGGGACCTGGATGCGAGCGCCAATGAGCGGGCCGCCCTGGCCTCGCCCCGCCTACCAACGAGCCCTGGCCCGCGGGACCCGCCCGTCGTGGCGTCACGGTCTCCGGTGGGGATCCGCCCGCGCGGCCGCCGCACGAGAGCTCGGCCCGGCCTGAGGATGAGGGAAGGGTCGGCGCTGCCCGGCGCCCCCGGCGCCGCACCGGTGCCCGGCTTCTTAGCCAAGCTGTGGGCCCTGGTGGAGGATCCGCAGAGCGACGACGTCATCTGCTGGAGTCGGGTGAGGGCGGCCCCGGGGCAGCGGGAGGCGGCGGCGGCGGTGGTCTAGGAGGCCCCGCGGGGAGCGAGGCCCGGGGGAGGCGGCGGCGGCGTGCCGGGCCGGGCCAGGCCAGCCGGGCCGGGAGCGCTGGCGCGTGGCACGTGGCGCGAGCGGGGCCCGGAGCGGTTCCGTGCCGCGTCCCGGCCGCACCGCGCGGCGATCGGAGCGGAGCGGCGCTGCGTCTGAGCCGCCAACGGCGCCCCGAAACCGTTAACTTTAATTTTTCCTCTCATGCCGCCGAGAGCCTCCAGGCGGGGACGCCGCAGCCGCACGCGGACGCGAACGCCCGCGGCGTTGACTTTCGCTCCGTGTCCTTTTCTAACGCGTATTTTTTCCATCCGTTTCTTCGGATGTCGGCCTTTAAAAGGCGAAAGTGAAGAGATCCGTTCGCTCCCCGTCGCGGCCATACGAACGCACGAGCTCCATCCGGCCCGCGCGGTGCGCTCCGTTCGCCCCGTACCGCCGCCGCCCCGCTCTGCCCCCGGGTATTTTTAACGGTGACGCCGCGCGGCCTGAGCGCCGTTTGCCCTTCGTGTGCCGGGATCTGTTTTAGAACGATTTTTTTCTTTGGCTCGAGGCCAAAGTTCAGACTTTGAAAAAAAAAAATAAAAACAAACAAACCAACCAAACCGCAATTCCAGAGCAGTGTTCCCTGAAAGGCTTTTTTTTCCCCGATCTTTTTTTTTACGATCTGGAAAACTCATTAAGTCCCCTCAGGCGGTGCCCTTTGGTGTGTTGTGCCCATGGTGCCATAGGAACTGGCTCCAGCAATGATCCTGGCATCAGAGCAGCGCCTCAGAAACGTTTGTTCTCACTGTTATTGTCCCTTATTTCCCAGAATGGTGAGAACTTCTGTATACTGGATGAGCAGCGGTTTGCCAAGGAGCTGCTCCCCAAGTACTTCAAACACAACAACATCTCCAGCTTCATCCGACAGCTCAACATGTGTAAGCATCAGCTGCTGTGCATGCATGTTTGTGTTGCTTTCTCTGTTGAAGCAGCGTTAATCCCACCGATGGCTCAAGCTGGATCGAGTCTCCTTTTTATGTTTTCTGTGCTCTACTCGTGAGCATCACATACTGCCTGTTCTGTGAGATGTGCACAGTGTGTGCAGGCAGTGGAGTCAGAATGAGGTGGCAATCTCAAGTCAGTGCAGTGTGCGGAGCACAAAGAGTTGGTTTGGGGCCATGTGAAGGTACAGACTGCACAGGAATTGGCTGCCTTTGAGTAACGGGGTTAAAAATGATTGAATCCTTCCCGGGAAAGGAGAGGATCTGGAGGACACTCTGTTTGCCTGACATGTGAAGAAACAATTGTCAGTAGTCTCATAACGCAGTTGAATGATAAAATACAAATATTCATATGAAGGTATGCAGTGGGGTGGCAGCCTCCTCATGCTGCTTACACTGAGGTTTTCTCATGACAGTGCGTTTGGGGCGCAGCGAGGCTGGAACGTATCAATTGTGTTAAGAACTTGAGTGAGAAAAGATACACATTGTTCTGGTAACTAATTTGCATCTTCCTTTTGGTATTTAAAGCAGTGGTGGAAATAGAGCTGGCAATGCCTTATTCCATGGAGACGGTCTGGAGTGGAAGAAGTGCTTTTTGTGCCTGATTTGTTGCCATAGGTGGAGGACTAATTTCTCTTCCTTTTAATATTCCATAGACTCTGGTGGGATACAACCGCATTTGTTTTGGTATGCAGTTGCCTGAGTCTATAGGGATGAAAGGGAAGGTGGGACATACTGTCCATTCCTCATTTTATGCGAGGTGTCCTAGGAAATCTGCTGACTTGCTTCTGTGATTATTTGGACTGTCTTGCTTCCAGGACTAGCAGGCCGGTGCCATGCGTGCTGTTTGTAGATCATTTGGTGGTGTGGTAGGTAGGTGTGTTCCCTGTCTGTGGTGATCAGAGCAGTGAAGTGGTTGAGCACTGAAAGGAGGCTCCTGCTTCCAATAGCTGTGTAGCTGTAGGTATTTCAATAGCTTTGTGGTTTTCTTTAGCTCTGTTTTGTAACAGTGAGCTTTACTTTAGAAGAAATGATTTTATTTCAATCCCTCTCCACAGATGGTTTCAGGAAGGTGGTTGCTTTGGAGAATGGTATGATTACAGCAGAGAAAAACTCAGTCATTGAGTTCCAGCACCCTTTCTTCAAGCAAGGAAATGCACATTTATTGGAAAACATCAAACGCAAGGTACAGTCTAAGCATTTATTTACTTCACTGTTATTGTTATGAAAAGAAGTTTATCTAGAGCAATTCTGAGCGTTTCAAACACTTTACAGCCAACAAATTCCTGGAGAACCAAGGCTGTGCACTGGCAAGCCTTAGCAGCTCCCTCCTGAATGCCACACTAATGCTTGGCTTGGCCTCCTCCTGTCAGCTCTTAAACAAAATGCACCCTGTTGTTGTCTAGCAACACACAGGAGGTCTACAGCTTTTATCAGTGGCACAGACTCTAGCTGGTGGTGCACCTCTAGGGTCAATACTGAGTCCAGCTGTGTTCAGCAGTTCCATTAATGATAAAGATGGTGTGGATACAGCACAGGCAGCAATACTCAGCTCACATAAATTATTTTTTTCCTCCAACACCATTTTGCTAATAAGCTACTTTTTTTGCAAGCACTTTCTAGTTTTCTTTTGTGTATTTGGCCTTGTCTTAACTGCACCTGCATGTATATATTTTCTCTGCTTGCACGTTACAGCCCATAATATCCTGGCTGCCAGAGAAAGACACTACCATGATACATCTTGTTGACATTTGAACTTTGGAGTTCTTTCTTTAGAGTGTCATAATGTGGTGACTGCAATGCCCAAGTTAATAAAAGCAGAGAGTAGGCTTGAGGGTTAGCTAGAGTCACAATTGTGTTTTGATTGATTCTTTGCTGAACTCTCTGCTCAGAATCTCAGTTGATCAAATATGGTAGCAGTTTCTCTGACACAGACCTGTGCTCTTTGCAGATGCCGCAACTGCTAACTTGTCTTAGCTTGCACACCTTCCTTTCTGGTATGCTGTCAGTGCTGGCATTACACATGGCACTGTGTATCCCATGGGTGTTGCACTGGGTGGAGTACTCTAGATGAGAAGACAAAAGCACTATTTAGTGCCAAAGACATTCATGTAAATTCTGGTGAAATATATTCTTTGTTGCACAGGAAATGTGATTTTTGCAATGGATAAAACATCCGTTAGCTTTTCTTGCGCTTTACTGTCTGGAATGGAAATGTATTTCAGCCTCAAACAGGAGCGTGTCTGAATGCAGGACTTCCTTTCTTTACTCATTTCACTGTTAGGGCTAGGATCTCTGTTCGTGTGACTCAGTCTTGACATCCTTATTATATAGTCACAAACTTGGAAGAAAGCTGTTCCTCGTATTTGGCAGAACGTTTTAGTTTGGCTTTCCCTCCAAGAGGCATTCTGACTGCATTTGGTACTTGCACCTACTGTCTGCATCCTTTGGGTATCCTTCCCATGAAGGGGTGGTGTGCTGAAGAGGAATCAGGATTTCATTTGGGGTGCATAAAGTATATTAGCACATGGTGCTATCTACAACAAATAGTAAAGCATCCAAAACTGCAGACAGAGAGAACTGTCAGGCCATTCAGTGCATCCTTTTGAACACTGGGCTGTGTTAAGAAAACAGTTATTTCTGCAGAGGGATATTGCTGTAGAATCTTACAGTTGTTTGAGTTGGAAGGGACCTTTAAGAGTCGCCTGCAGTGCACAGGGATGGGCACAGCTCCATCACTGCTCAGAGCCCCATACAGCCTGACCTTGGCATGGGGCATCCACTCCTCTCTGAGCAACCTGTGCCACTGCCTCGCCACCCTGACTGTGAAAAACTTCTTCCTTATGTCCAATTAAATCTTCTTTTAGTTTGAAGCCATTTCCTTTTGCAGACCTTGCTAAAGAGTCTGCCCCCTTCTTTCTTACAGCCCCCACTAGATACAGAAAGGCTGCTATCAGGTCTCCCCAGAGCCTTATGAAAGTAGTTATGTGTGCTCTAACATCAAAATGCAGTGACCACATGTAATCCGGTGGATTTGTGTGCTTTGGAAAACATTTGCTGCTTGTCTGCCAACCAGCAGCAGGCGCTGTGGACTGTCTTTACCAATTGCTCGGCTGCCTTTTAGCTTGGTGAAGGATGTTGTACTCTGAAACAGAGTCGAAATGCTGGGGAAAAAGCATGAGAGGTAACAGCTAGCTAGTTGAGCTGGAGTGGACAGGCAGTCCTACAGTGATCTTGCAGTGACAGCTTTTGGGAGATCTGTGTGAAACTGTAAAAGTCTACTCCTCAAACTAGTATAGAAGAGCTAATATAAGAGTGTTGTTAGAAGCAGGAGCAATTCTAGCACAGAATTCCATCACACAGTGATGGGACACTATTTTACAGCACTGTAGGTCAATTTTGACCAATGAATACCAATTTTAATTTAAAAACAGTGGGAATCTGTGAGCCAACCTGCATGGAAACAGTAGGCTTCCACATCTCCTGGATTTTAACAAAATAAGTGAAATAAGAGCACAGTGTTAGGTTGGAAGAGAGATCTGGTGGTTACCTGCTACAACTTCATTTGATTTCATTGCAGTCTGTGTTTGGCTAAA